GTCCTTCCTCTTCCTCCAAACTCCCTCCTGGATCTTGAGTGCATGCTAGGGGAAGGTGGAAGGATCAAGCGGATCAGCTGGCCAGCGGACGTCACGTGGTTGGGGTACTCTCTGGGCACCAGGGGAAGAAGCACGTCCCTTTCCTTTCCCCTGTTTGCTGGTTGATGCTTTCTAGGCTGGGGCCTTGCCCTTTGTCAAGCCCATCAAAGCATCTGTCAGGGCAAGGACAACAGAATCTACAGCAGATGATGAGGCAGTCCCAGGTGGAGAGTTCCCACCCTGGGAGGCTGCGTCACTATCTGATCTTGAAACTGCAGCAGCAAACAGGGCACCCTTCCTCCTCCTTCGCCCTTTAGAGGAGAGTCCCTTCCTTCCTTGAGAAGGTGCTTCCTGAACATGGAGCTTGGACTCCAAGTCCAGGGTTGCTCTGCCAAAGGACCGCCAGTCCTTGTGGCCCTGAGAGAATAAGACAAGCTGGAATTGCTCAAGAGCTGCCTTAAGGAAATGAATGAGCAGATCCTGCTCACTCATCTCCAACCCAGGAGTCGATGTCGGACTCTCAAAGGTGGAATACAGTTTGGACAAGGAGCCATCAAACTTTAACTGGCACAGGCGCATAATTTTGTCTGCTGCTTTCCTGGCCTGCTCCTTGTCTGTAAACCGGTCCTGCAGTGCCTGCAGAAATCCAGCCACCCCCAACCTATGTGCCCAATCAGACATCTCCATACCTTACTTGCTGGAGGTGGAGGTGCACCATTTCAGTGTTGATCGCTCCAAGCGAGCAAGGATGGCAAACACCTTGACATCCTCATCACATTTGAACCCACTTAGGTAGGTTCTCTGTGCAGCGACCCAACATGCCACATCCATCTTTGGGTCCTCGCCTGAGAACATGGGTGGCGGTGTCAGCTTAGGCCGTTGAAACTCAAATGGTGTTGAGGGTTGTGAAGCTGCTGTTGATTTGGGGTTAGAGGATGGAGATGAAGGTTTGGATTGTGGGGGTTTCTGGGAAGTTCAACCTGCTTGAGATGGCCCAGGAGAAGGAGGAGTTGTCTGAGAAGGGGGGATCTGCAGATGATCGAAGAGACGGTCCAACTTGGAAGAAATATCTCTCAGCTGCTGAGTATGCTCAGCCATGTTGTCTTCCAAACTCGTGATTCTGGCATCCCAATTAGTAAAATAGGACTGATGAATCTCRTCCTGCAGAAGGACGAATTCAGCAATGTCCTTATTGTACTGACTAGAACTGCCACTAGTCCTGACCTTCTCTACATCAACTGTCAGTTTTCTCCTTCTCTTTTCTTTTTTTGCAGACTCCTCCTTCCTCTTCAGCTCGACCTTCAGAGACTCAACTGCCTGGGCCTGCTGGCGAAGTTTCTCCTCCTGAGCCCGCAGTTCAGCCTATAGAGGGTCAAGCAGAACCGGTGTCTGGGGCTGTACTGTTATCTTTAACTGTACCTGAGGCTTCTCTTCAGAAGTCTCAGCCTGCTTAGACACTTCTGCTTTCCCATAATCAGTCATTTTGTTCACCCACAATACAGATAAATAAAAATAAACAAATACTCAAAGACGGCGCAAGAGGTAATAGGAATTGAGACTTCTCTTCAGTACTAACTCAATTGTCGTCACCTGCCTGGAGAGAGAAGGTTGGTTAGTTTGAGCAAGTGAGTGCTCAGTCTCAGCTGACCACTTGAGGGTCAGAGTCAGTTTAAAGACCACTCAGGCAAAAATCAATTTCACGATTTTTCCATCCCTGCCCTGACACCACAATTGCATGCAATAATTGCAAATCCTGCTTCTGTGATAACCCGTCCAAACACGGACTGAAACACACAACTGATTTTTTAGTTTTGCTCATAGACCGAATGCCCTACTGAGTTCCCCGCTTGCTAAGTCTGTGTGTGTGTGTGCTTGCTGGACTGCATGTCTGTCTGAATGCTGGTTGGCTTGCGTGTGTGACCGTGTCTGTCTGAGTGCTGGTTGGTATGAGTG